CGCCGCGCCGAACAAAGCCCCGGCCCCGCGCGCCCTGGGCGCCGCTCGCCCCTCTGCGCATGCTCCGCGTGCTGCCGCCCCCGCCCCGGCCCGGCCCGGCTCCCGCGTGGCGCGGACAGCGGAGCGCTCTGGCTGCACACAGAGCTGTGTGGAACTAGCACTTACCAGCTTCAAAGGCTGACGCTACCCCACGTGAAACAATCTGCTCGCTTCGGTCACTGAAGCCTGGTGTGTTTGGAGGAGATGGGGAAAGAAGAGACAATGGGTCACAATTATAATAAAAGAAAGGAAAAGTTAATTCCCTCCCATTTCCTCCAAACACACCAGACCTAGCTAGATTTCACCCTCAATCTCAGTATTACCAAGGAGGAAAGAGGAAACTGGAATAACTTATCTAAGAATCCTCCATCCCCTTTGCCCGTGAATAAGCAGTTCATGTTTCAACTTGTCTATGCAGGTGATTAAGGACCCATGCCTASAGATAAGCAGGCTCCTAGACCCCCYRTCACAGGTATTTGGAGCCCAGAAGYTGCTCTGARCAGTCTCTGGATGAACACCATTCATCAACGAGTGTTACTTCTCGAGTCAGTATTAAAAAAGACTGCGAATCTAAACAGCCTCATTTYTCACGTAACTGTCTGACGTGTTCCGGACTACTAAAAACCACCCCACCCCCACAGCTAGAAGCTTTTCTACTTTTTTTTTTAAGCGCATGCTCAAGTTTATGTAAGTAAACCAAACAACACGAACTCGTTTACAGTCAATGCAAATTAGATCAGCAAGTGGAACCGCGCTACAGTCACTTCCTGCACAAAGCTCTCCTCTCCATTTCACTCGCCGAACGCCCATTTTAGAACACTGCGGTGGCAGGAGMAGGGCAGGAGCAGCGGGGGAGGGGGGGAAAGCGCCTCCGCCTTTTCCCGGGGAGAATTGGCGGGAAGGGACCATCCCGCCCACCGCCTGGCGGGACGCTTAAAGTGCGCTGGAGCAGCCGACAACCCCCTGAGTTCCCGCTCAGCACCGCCATGTCCACCCCCGCCAAGCGGCACTGCCAAAGCCCCCCCGGCTCYCTCGAATCTAGCTTCCAGAAGCGCCTCAGGAAGGTTTCCATCGAGGGGAACATAGGTGAGCTCTGCGGTGCGGGATGCGGCTCAGGGCGGGAGGGGGGTCACACCGGGGGCACGCCAAGGGGCTGGGAGGGCCGGGGAGAGACTGGGAGAAAGAGGGGCGGCTGCAGGGCTCATCCACCCGGTTCTGCGGGCAGCGGGGACTCTGTAGGGAGAGCCGCGCCAGGGCCCGAACCCGGAGCGCAGATGGAGCAGGTGGGGAGCCCCGCGGGCAGGGTGCCCGTCAGTCACACCGAGGTGCAGGGCGGGCTCGGAAGCACAAAGCCCCGTCACCCCGGGCCGGGCCGCAATGCCCGTTCGGTCCCGTCCGCCAGCGCCAAGTCCCGGCGCCTGCGCGGCCGCTCCCCCGGTCTCCCCCCGAGCTCCGCCCGCCGCAGCAGCTCCTAAAATGTCGGCTGAGACTCAGCCGCCCTTATCGGCCGGCCGGCCGGGCGCGGCCCCTTTGGCGCKGCGGATTAGCGCTGTTTGCTCCAASGGGCACCCGGCCGGCCTTGAGCCMCAACAGCCGCTAATAACCCTCACAACTGCCCCCCTGTGCATCAGTAGCACCAGAGAAATCAACCCCCGCCCCGGAGTGAACTGCTCTAATCTTCCGCAGCTGCGGGGAAGTCAACGTTTGTCAGGCTGCTGGAGAGACACAGCGATGAGTGGGAGATCATCCCCGAGCCCATCGCTAAATGGTGCAACATCCAGACAGTCGAGGATGAGTACGAGGTAGGTGCGCAGGATTTGGGCCGGATGAAACTGCAGAGTTTCACGGCCAAGGAGCTATGCCAAAATCCAGCTATACTTAGTCTGCAGCAGCCAGAGTCATCCCCACTATCATACCACAGTTGGTCAGGMACGCAAATTGTAAAGGCAAGATACTACTGAATGTATATTCCCAATCACAYCCYCTACTCTGTACTTAAAGCAAGCTACTCGAAGCTGTCACGAAAACCATCACCTGARAAAAAGTCTCTTAGGTCCTATGCCCAAGCATTTTCTTAAAAATAAKTTTTTAAAAGCCATGAAATCGTACTTAAAAATACCAGAATTCTGGATTGAGAAAAGGTAGTAAAATCCTGCAAATACGTTCCTATTAACTTTTTTCTCACTTTTAGGAACTTACAACATCTCAGAAGAGYGGAGGAAACTTACTTCAAATGCTGTACGACAAACCCACAAGATGGGCTTACACATTTCAGACTTATGCTTGCTTGAGCCGAGTAAAAGCACAATTAAAACCTGTTTCAGCCAAGCTACACGAAGCAGAATATCCAGTGCAATTTTTTGAAAGATCTGTGTACAGCGACAGGTAATAATTACTCTCGCAGCACAGCAAAAACTTGCATTAACAGCTCCAAGTCTTTAAAGATACGGAAGTGAGGAAAACAATATTTAAACTAGTATCTGCACGGAAGCAGGCTTGATTAAGGGATTTTTTTTTCAATACCATCATTCTGTCATAAYGACGAGCATTTTGGTAGTTCACTTTTGTCATTCCTGGTATGAAACTGATGTCTTTCATTGCAGATACGTATTTGCTTCTAACCTGTTTGAGTCTGGAAACATTAATGAAACTGAGTGGGCTATTTATCAGGACTGGCACACATGGCTTTTGAATCAGTTTCAATCAGATATAGAACTGGATGGCATGATCTATCTCAGAACCACACCTCAGGTATGCTCGCTAAAATGGGAGGGTTTTCAGTTTCAACTTTGTTTTCCAGAGYTTAAGAGTGTACAAAAGTTATTCCAGATTTAACTCGTTTATGTTCAGCCAAGCACTTGAAATTAATGCTCACTAACGTCTAGCATTAGTCCTTCCAAGTTAARGACCACTTGATCCGTTTAGCTGATTTAACTRTAACACATGATTAATGACCAGGTTTATACTTTTTCTAGAAATGCATGGAAAGGCTACAGATGAGGGGAAGAGAAGAGGAGCAAGGAATTGAGCTKGAGTATTTGGAAAACCTCCATTATAAACATGAAACCTGGCTTCATGAAAGGACTATGAGGTAAGAACCAATATTCTGCAGCAAGTTTCAACTTGCAGGCAAGGCTCTTTCCTACCTTAAACCTTAGTTTTATCAAATTTGGCATTAAGTCTCGTTTCACTCAGGCAGTTGGACAGACTTTGGACCCACTTCAGGTTTCAAGAGAGGRAACTTCACGTAATTTAAAACCTTTGTTAAGCATTAGCTTCAACTAGGAAGTTTTATAGTTTAACCTCCAGCAAGGATATGGATTTTGCTAATTGGAAGGACACGGGAAAAGGACAGTTAAAATGGTGTTCAGGGGCCAATCACATACATTGCAGCAGAACAACTRTGATGAGAMATGTAAGGARTAGACCAAGTTCCTAACTACCTTTAAACTAGCAAGAGTGTATTTCAACAAGTTTAAATATTAATCCTAGCTTCAATTTAAACAACCATCAGAAATGCTTTTGGCAGACCTGTTACACACAAGTAACCTAATCAGCAACCGAGTGATCTCTGCACACTTTCCCTCAACTTCCTCATCGACTCTTTATTGGCTTTCCTATCTAAAGTTTCACACAAAATGACCCAAATGCTTCAGAGGTAGAAGGCAATGCATACTGTGGAATTTTGAGTGCTCATTCCAAACTTGTAAGCATGCACTTCCTGTGTTTAAGARAAACRTTCAAGTTTGCAAGAACAAGTTACAATACTGGTTAGCACACATACSGTGTTTTAGAAATGCCTTCCACACTCAGAAGACTAACTACTGCTACCATCTGTTCCTAAACTGAAGCCAAACTGGTCTTGCTTATGTCAAAGACATTTTAAATACCAGTCATATAACCTGTAAAAGAGGTCATCCCCATGAAAGGAAGCTTTAAAAATGCATCTTGGTAAGTAGATTAGATGGGGGAGACAAAGGGCAAGGGAGATTTAAAAAAGATCTTACAAAATCAGTCCCTGGTAATTGATTCCATGACTAGAATTAGCTAMAGGAAATTAAGGTAAAAACTGTATTCCACCCCACCTGTGCATTACAGATAGATACTAAGAGTCCAGACTTGTGAAATATATGAAGAGTAGCTAAGGACAAACTTGACTTGGGCATCAGCTTTTATCATCTAGGGGGCACATGGGAATCTGACTACTGCTGCRCCCTTAGAAAGCAACTCAAGCACAGGGGTCTTGTGAACAGTTTATGCCATGTTTTACTCAAACTATGTTCTTACATTTAACAGAGTTGATTTTGAGAACCTTAAGGAGATTCCTATTCTAGTTTTGGATGTTAATGAAGATTTTAAGAACGATAAAATTAAACAGGAGTACCTGATTGATAAAGTAAGTATCAAATATTGGGGGKTTTGTATCTGCTTTTCTTCTGCAGTTACCATGCATGCAGTGACATTTCCAAACAGAGTTGGGAGGGAAAGCAAACAACCATTTGAGGAAGCGAGGTGGTAATGAAGAGGTTACTTCAGTCAAAACGGGGTTTACCAATTCAAAGGAAAAGCAGGACTTGGGAGGGAAATATCAATAACTCTGGTGGAGCTGTTTGGCCTGTCCATGGCAAAAAAAAAAGACAAAAAAGCCCCAAACGAACAATCCCAAACAACCCAAAACACCACCTAATACTTAAAGGCATGAGGAAGTGCTCTCCTAGCAAACCCTAGAAACTATTTTCTTCATCCTGTTCTGGGTCATCAGAATGACTCCTTTAAGCYAAGCCTAATTCCCTCAATTAAACAGCTCTAAATAAACTGGGAAGGGGAGCATAACGATCAGTCGTGGAGGTATTTATCATTATATCCTCACGGAAGCCAGCAATTAATAGCTGAATTTTAAATAGGCACTCAAATACACCGTCTTTTACCTTGCCCCTCTGAAAGGCCATAAGCATTTCATGTCATAAATTTAATGTAGGGGCCAAACATCACTGGTAAACTATRAYAACAAACTATTTCTTCCCAAAGAAAGGGGAAAGCCTAGTAATTTAGCTTTTAATGCACTGAATAACATATATGCTTTCTTTGTGATAGGTCAAGTCTTTCCTGMCTTCTTTAGATGAAAACTAACTCGAATAACAAGTCTCTGAAGTTTACCTAATAATCGCCGTGCTCAAAAATTAATTTTAAACAAATGCATTATATGTATATCTTATTTTAAAGCAAGCCTGAAATGTAAAAATATTGTTTGCTGTTTTTCTTTCTTTGTCTGACTTGTGTAGGATTTGATAGAATTTTCTGTAACGCTAGAAAGAACAAATATGGGGCTCTTTGATATTTTTTTTTCCTGTATATTCTCCGTTGTTTAATAAAAACTTAAAAATCATATTGCCTTTCGAGTGTCTCTCCCCGCGGGGGAGCTCAGCGGTTGTGAGAGGCCGACACCCAGTAAACAGATAGCAGGCGCTCAGCAGTGTTGTTTTGCAATAACTGGCACGGGTTCACCATTTTAAGACGAGACTGTTATGGCGTCCAGAAACCTTTACTTTCAACTTCTGCTTTACTGAGTGGCCGCTTCCACCGATTTACGCTACTTAAGGCTGGACGTTAGACCTGTAATAAACTGTAATTTATGCTTATCTTGTTTGCGATCTCCCACCCCCCCCCCAACACCCCCCCCAACACGGGGAGGGACCCGCGGGCGCGGCAGCGGCGGTGGAGGCGGGACAGCGACCCCGGAGAGCCCCCACTCCCCCGCCCCGCGGCCCCGCCCGACACGACGCACGCGGCGGGGGGGGTTGAGCAGCGCACGCGGCCGGGCCCGTCCCCGCCACCCCCTCCCGTCCCCGGCGCCATCGTGCGGCCTCCGCGGGCCCTCTGCAACACCAGGCCCGGGCGGGCGGTACCGCGAGGGTCCCATCGCCGCCCCCCCCCGCCATTCCCTCCCGCCACACCTCCGTACCCGCCGGCGCTAGGCCTTACCCAAGCCGGGGATCTCGCCCTCGGTCTCCTCGGTGTGACAAGGGTCCATCTTGGCCGCGCCTTCCCCGCAGGGGCCTCAAGAACAACAAAGCTGGGCGGGGGCGCTCGGACGCTGCGCGAACAGAAACAAAAGCTCAGCGACGGCTGAAGGGGAGCCCGACGAAGGTGGATCGGGGCTCCGCKGGGGGTTTCTCAACGCTCCCGCGGCGATGGGCTGCGATGTAGCCGCCGCTGGGCCCGCTCCCACCCGCTCGTTCCGGCTGCGCAGCGCTCGCTCCGCGCCTATAAATGGCCGCCAGCCGCGCAGCGCCACGCGCTGACGTCACGCGCCGCCCGCCCCCGCCAGCCAATGGCCGCGTGACAAATTGAACGCAGCCAGTCACGTCCGGCCCCCGCGTGCGCTGTGCGGGGGGGGGTGGAACCATGGCGGGGGGAGCGCGCGACCGCCCCGGGGGTCCCGCGAGCCCCCGGGCACCCCGCGCCCGCCGGGGGCCGCGAGTTCGAGTCCCGAGGGAGCCAGGTTCCAGTCTCCCCCACCCCGCACGGCTCCGGTTCCAGTCCCGTCCCCGCCCGTTCCGCTCCCCGGTTACCGAAGATGGCGGCGGCATTCTCCCTCCCGCCCCCGCCCGCCCCACCGCCTCCCCCTCGTCCCCGCTCCCCCGGCGCCCCCCGCTCACGGCGAGCTGCGGCGCGGCGCTCCGGCGGCGATCGGCGGCTCCGTGCACTGCAGCACCGCCCGCCGCCGGCGTCAGCTGGACTCGGCTCCGCCTCCCGCCGCGGCGGGGGCCGGGCACGGTGGAGCCTGCGCAGGCCTGGCCCGGGAGGCTTGGGGGGCTTTCCTGATCTCTCGAGGGCCGTTCTGTGCCAGCCCGGGTACGGGGAGCGCAGCCCGACCGGAGCAGCCCCGCTCAGGCCCTGCCGGGTCGGTTTGGGTTTGGCGCTGGAGGTTTTTGTGTTGGAGTTGTGCCGGGGAATCGCCGAGTGCGTGCTGGCAATGGCCGCTTCACACAGGCCCTCCGCATCCTCAGAGCACGCTCTCCCAAAACAGACCGACCCTCTCCACAAAGAATCATGAATTTAACCAACTCTAGGTTAAAATAGCTGCAAGGGAGCCGGTGGGATTGAACGATAAGAGGTGACCTTAGGACTGTGAAGGTGKGGCATCGACTCCCAGCTTTGTTTCTGGCCGAGTGTTAGTGTAAAGCAAATCCCTTTGCTAATCCCCGTTGAAGTCTGGGGTTCTAGCATTGAGATAATGATGATTTTTGACCTTTTTATAGTATCTATTAATATTCATATACTGAGGTACATTTGCAGTGTGTTATTTTATTAGTCTTGATTGTGAGAGGCCGACACCCAGTAAACAAATAGCAGGCACTCAGCAGTGTTTAGTCCCTATTACTGCATTTGAAAAAGGACAGAAAATGGGTTTTCTGTTGTTTATGCATCAYGATCCACGTGATTAAATGGCTTTAAAGAGGGCTGTAAGGGCTGTTCTCTTGCAATCTAATTTTCAGTGAGAAATAAAGCCTGATTTGCCTAATATTTTCTTGATCTTATATTTATTTAGTCAAACAAGATTCTGTTTTAAGTTTTCTCTTTAGGGGTCTTTTAGGACATTAAAATCATCCTGTGTTCACACTGACAAGAAGTTCTGCATATCSCTCCAGTGTTAGAAGAAAAGTCATATGACTTCTTTTAGCAAATATGTAACTGCTMTGAATCTTACACAAGAACTCAGCCTGCCTTTCAAATATCCCACAGTAACTTTGGTACAGCCACTTCCAGGGGGAGAATGTGACTGTGAGCTGCAGGGGCAAGCAAAGACATAAATAGTTATCCGAAGAGTTATGATTAGCCAATGTATATGCAGTGTTTGAAAGACAAAAGTAATTAACAATTCAAATGGAATTGCTGCTAACAGAGCAGCCTTTTYCTGCTGAGGCCTTGGCTGGTTATGTGCTTTTGCAAATGGGGGTGATCCCACGGTATGTGAGCACTTGCAGAGAGGAAAACAGGAGATAAAATTCTTTCTGGAAAGATTGATATAGGATCTTCCATAATTTCTTCTAGGACTCGGGCATCATGTTTACCTGGCTTTTTGTTTTATGGTACCAGCCTGACTCTCCAACCTTCTCCTCCAACAGACTCAGTTGAAATCCAGTGGGTCTGTCACAGCTCAYGCTGCAGCTCTGGGTACATGGGATTTTTCCTGAAAAAGCTTTGTTCTGCTTCAGAATTTCACTGTTTCCTTCCTGCAATGGGAAAAGACACACCTGCTGCTCAGACAGCAGGGGAGAGGAGCTGCTCTCATTTTCCCACTTGCATTCCCAGAAGGTTTTGCTACATTCAAGTCATCCAGGGAAGTGAGGGCTGTAATCCAAGCTGAGTTCAGCCTSCTGGGTGTTGTAGTGTATCAGGTAGAAAAAGGGCAGAGGTGGTCTCCAGAGTAGCAATCTGCCAGAGAAACAATCTGCTGGATAGTCACAGCCCCTGTGCAACATCCCAAATTCCCTACAGGCTCATGAAGAGGAGCCCCAGTCCAGCCTGCAGACAGATGCATAAAGCTGAGTACACAYRTGCAGTGTTAAGCTGGACCAAAATAAAGCTGAAACATGCTACCTGCTCAAGAATTTTCTGGTTTATACCAGTCTCTSTTTGTTATCTTACTTACACTTCTTTCCAGGGCAAGAAAATAATGGAAAAAATCTGCAGCACTGGTTTGAGGATTCCATAATTATCCAAGCATATGGAGACACTGTGTGTGTCTGGGAGTGAAGATGCTCATTTCTGAGTTGATTTTGAAGATATTGTTGCAATGCTAGAAATAATTACCAACAATTCTTCCATGGGTCAGCATTTGTCATTACAGGGAGAATTGATCAGAATTTAAAATCCTGCCCTGAAAAGATGACTGAACTCATTGTCCATCATCACTGCATGTGCCTTCCTTTCTTCCTTAGCTAAATGTTATCCATTTCTTCTGCTGCTGCCATCACAAAGTTCATTTTTCATGTCTCAGCTACGTGTGTTGCATGTGCCTCATGTTTGCATATAACCACCTATAATTTAGGATCTTACAGCTGATCTGCAAACCTGATTAACTCTCAGTAAACACTGCTGCAGCTGTTTCTTTTCATCTAAGATCTGAAACAGGGAATACATGGAAGTCTTMTACTACCAATGCTTTGTATGTTTCTGTGTGTGTGTGACCTCCAGCCAAAAGCCCTACCATTCCATTATAACCTTTCTGTTATTTCCCATGCTTCTGAAACAGCCTCTGGCTGYGATGCTGGGACAAACAGAATCTAAACAATGCTATTAAAAATGCATGATGTGTGTTCTGCCGTATTAGATAACATGGCCATGTTCATCATCCACTAATGCTGCCAGTTCACAGCTTTGCCAGTGCAGCCTCCCTCCCATCTTTGCTTTAGACAATTTAAGAGGATTTTTGGCTACACTTCACCTTTCTTCCTTTTCATCTTTTTTAATTTTTTTTTCTTGCCTTTATTCATTTCTCTGAAAATGGTGGTCTGCAGCACAGATTGGATTGGATTGGATTGGATGTATCCCAGCTTTTCTAAGATGTAATTCACTAAGAAGCTGGGAAGCAGGTTTGGGGATGTTGATAAACACTGTTTAAGTGAAAAGCAGACATCCAAGTCCTTCATTCTCTCTGAGGCTACTGTTGCACTGCTTGAAGTTGCCACCCTTCCCTTTGTGCCAGCAGCTTACCCACAGCTTGTGCTCACCATCCTTTGCCTCTTCGAGAATGGAAGAATTGCCTCTGTTCTGCTCTTTTGATGGTTGCACTCTCTCAGGGCTGGGCTGGGCGTTCACCAGCCTGGTGTTTCCCTTTGTCAGTGGAACCCAGGCCTATCAGCGTTTCAGTTTTGCAGCATTAGAATTGTAACAGTGTGCAGAACACCTGTTTTTTACCGCTGGAGCTGCCCACTGTGAATGCAGGGCCATCCGGGGTGAGGTGTCTCCTACAGAGTGCTGCAGGTATCTGTCTGTTGTGCTGCCTGAGCTCTGTGGGCATGAGTCAGCTCTGGTCCAGGAGCCATCTGGCTGCACAGCGCCGTGCTGAGCTCATCAGGCTGCTCCCGGCAAGGGTTTCTTCACTCAGGCAGAACATTTGCAGCTCCTTGGCAGTTCATCCRTGTGCTGCCAGGAGAGAGGTGGGAAAGTGGCCATTCACACACCTCCAAGAAGCTTTGTCTGCGTTTCTTTGTGCCCTCCCAGAAGGAGAACGAGCAGTAAAGCTGTAGATACTCAACAGTGGGATGACTCAGTCCAATGTTGGGAGAGTGTGCTGTATCAGGGCAGACAGCAGCCCTGAGCTCCTTACCCTGGARCACCACATTCATGGAATGGAGGCTATTTTAGCCATTCCCCAACTGCAGGCCCAGAAGCAGTGACCACAGCAGCTCACTGGCTTGGACCTCRCTGGAATGATGATCCCTGACTTCCACCCCTTGCAGGCAATGTTGCTGTAGTAATTTGGGGTCACTCAGCTTTCTCTTGTCAACCAGTGCAACACCAAAGCAGCTGATGCACATGCTCAGGCACAGACCTTCCTTTATTCTCTCACTCCAGAAGTGCTGTGTGTCCTGACCCTTTTGCTCTTCTTACAAAACTTTTACCTTTAGTCCCTGAACACAGAGCCTGGCACAGCATCGGTGGGGGCTGGAGCTGGGCATGCTCTTCCCTAAGCTTCCACAGCAGTTGGTCAGTTTTCCTTTGGAGGGAGGGCATTCACAAAGGGGSATGTTAAGCCSTGTCCATCTTATACATACTGTGACTCTGCCCTTAACTGGGGAAAGGTGAATTCTTGGAGCTTTCTGACAAGWAGTGATTGCTGGGAGGCAGAAAACTGATGAGAATGAGTCAAATTGTAACTTTAGTGTGTTGATTTTCCAGGCCTCCAGACCTGCTAACATACCAATTTGCAGATCGCTTTGTTTTTGCTTAGACTTGACCCCACTATCAAGTGCAGGAATAGTTTTTACTCCCCTGTGATGGTGTGGRGTTGATGTTGAAGCCAAACACGGTGCTCTCAAACCGAAGGTATGCAGTAGGTCAGCCACAGTCACACTCTTCAGTCCATCTCAGCCTCTCCAGTGAGGGTTGTGYTCTTGCACCCACACTTTCCAATTCCCCCTGAGCAAAGCACTCCATATCCTGACTTTGCCCTGTTACACTCCCAGTAAATCTGTGTGTSCGTATCTTTATTCACATCAAGAGCRTTCTGGATCTCGCTGCCCATAATGTTCTTCCACTGATGGAGA